CATGAACTTTTTGAAGACCCCCTGTATGTGTGTGTGTGTATGTATACTTACATATTTTATATGTATGTATTTCCATTTGGGTTCCAGGACTACACTTTGAGATGCTTGAATGAAATCATTACTTTGGCAGCGGCTTCCCAGTCTTGCCTGTAGTCTCACCAAGCCATGGCCTAGAATCCTGCTTTATTTTCCCCCACAGTTGGCTCTTTTTCTCAGAGTCTCCCTATTTGGGGTCCTGTGGTAGGCTGGGTTCCCTGGAAGTATACACTGAGTTGACCGTTCAATATGTTTTTAAGGAATGTTCTCGAGATCAACACGTGGGGTGGGGGTGAGGCAGCAGATGCAGAACTGGGCAGAGAGGAAAGTGGGTTGCAGCATGGGGCAACTGGCCTCACGCCACAGACAGCCCTGAGCCTGGGATGGCTCTTCAGCATTGTCCTGTGTTGGGGCAAAATTCTCAGCCTGGATGATCTCCTTGCAGACCAGTCGTTGGACGCAAGCTGCTTTGGGAAAAGATGGTGACACTGGGCATGGCAGGTTGACTCAATCTGGGCGGTTCCTAAAGAAAGATGACAGCTGAGAGTGTGGGCTGCCAACATTCCCAGCAGCTGAGGAAATAAATCCTTCAGCCCTGAAGGAAGGGGTGGGAATCTACGAAAAAGGTATCTGCAAATCCTTGCAGTCTTCCACTCTTTGGTCTCCCTTAGTGGAGACTAAGTCCTCTTGTCCCAAGCTCTGTCTAGAGATCTTTAGGGTAAACATCAAAGACCAAGCAATATCTTAAAAAACAGACAGAAAAACTAATAAAAGTTGCAGTTCAAGGTAGTACTATTTTATTACAAAAAAATTGAGACATCAGACTTTTTTTTTTTGTAAATGAATGTCTATATTCCAAAATATATTTCTGAAGCCAAAAGCATTCTTTTCCAGATACACTCAACTTTCTGAGTTCTGTAGGAAATGGAAACTTTATTTTAAAAATAAACCTTGAAGCAATTTGAAAATAAAGAGGACCTCCTTTTTGAACCTGTGCTAAAAGTTAAGCAGGCCCACAGGGCACTGCAAACCAAACTTCTTAAGACTTCTTCAGAATTGGCAAAGATTGCAATAACAGATGTCCTAGAGAATGTGGCAGGATACTAAAGTAGCTTAGGGAATACTGAGCAGGCTTCCAGTTAGAAACTTACAAATTCTTTTTTCTGAACTTAAAGTACAGTCTCAGGTCTTGCAGACTTCATGAAGTTACATGAAGGAAAGGTGCAAATCTGTTTGGAGGCACAAATAACTCAATGTTAAGTTACTGTTGTGGGCTGAATTGTCTCCCCCCACCTCTAGGAAAAAGAAAAAAAAAAGACGTGTTGAAGTCCTAACCTCCTGTACCTCAGAATGTGACCTTATTTGGAGATAATGTCTTCACAGAGGTAATCAAGTTAAAACGTGGTCATTAGTATGAGTCCTAATCCAATATGTTTGGTGTCTTTATAAAAAGGAGAAATTTGGACACGGAGACAAGCACAGAGGAGAGAATATGTGAAGACAGAGGAAGAATGTCATCTACAACCCAGCAGCTACTAGAAACTACCAGAAACTCCCAAGGCAACTAGAAGCAAGGAGAGAGGACATGGAACCAACTCTATTCCTCAAAAGGAACCAACCCTGCTTTCCCCTTGATTTTGAGCTTGTAGCCTCCCGAACTGAGACAATAAATTTATGTTTAAGCCATTCAGTTGGTGATACTTTGTTATGACAGCCCCAGGAAAAAAACACAGCCACTCAGACAGCATCTTCTCTGCTGAGCCTCTCCCTGGCATCTTCCAAGAAGCCAGCTCAGAAGCCGAACAGACTAGGTCCTGGCTCAATCATTTGGTCAAGTCAATTTATCAAGCCTGTTTTTTATATGTAAAATAAGAACATAAATAATACCTACTATACAGGCTTTTGAGTATTAAATGAGCTGAAATAGATAAGAGCCTCCCTTTCCAGATACTTATAAATTCCAGAGTGCCACGTAAGGCCAATTGACTATCCTCCAACAGCTGCTCATAGTCTAATGATGAGTAGTCCGATCCTTGGAATGTTTATGCCTCTTCAAGTTTCAAGTTCAGCATCATTTCTGTCCACTAGTGTCCATTATTAATATTGCTTTTTTCTTATCAACTCTCAATGACCGAGCCCATCAAGTCTCCTGAAACAATTAATTTTCCTGATGTACTGAGGAGGTCATAAACCAGAAAGACAACAACCTTACAGCAAGCACCCAGCCCTTCTTGACAAGCCATTGTGAATCAGTCTGGAGACATTGTATGTGAATTAGCTGTATGGGTCAGGCTCAAGGAGTCACCCCATCAGGGACCAGCTTCCAGACTCTTTTGAGCTGGAAAGGTATACAGACTTTCGTTATTTTAAACCAGATCATCATCCTTGGTTTGCTTGGTACAGACACTTTCAAATATAATACCTAAACATTACAAAACTAACTACAGATGATCTTTAGACTATCGGTTAGATTTGATTATCTGAACTGTTTTCTTGCATTGACAGAGATAATGAAAAGCTTTTTAAGCCACAAGAAGATATCACTTCACACTTACTAAGGTGGCTATATAATATAAAAACTTGGGAAAAAGCAAGTGTTGGTGAGGGTGTGGAGAAACTGGAACCTTTGTATGTTTCTCATAGCCATGTAAGTGGTACACTGCTGTGGAACACAATTTGGTAGTTCCACAAAAAGTTTAACGTAGAATTTCCTTATGTCCTAGCAAGTCTACCCCTGGGTATATACTCCAGAGAATTGAAAACAGGGACTAAAGTGGGTACTTGTGCATGGATGTTCATCACAGCATCACTCACAATAATGAAAGGATAGCACCGATCCCAGTGTTCATCAACAGATGATTGAATAACCAACGTGTGGTATATACATGCAGTGGAATAGTGTTCAGCCGGAAGAAAAGAAATAAAGTTCTGATACATGCTACGGCATGGCTAAACCTTGAAAATGTTATGCTAAATGAAATAAACCAGATACAAAAGAGCAAATATGTATGAATTCACTTATATGCACTATGTAGAAGAGGCAAATTCATAGAGACAGAAAGTAGATTAGACAAAGTCGATTATCAGGGGCTGATGCTAAAGGCGAATGTGAGTTAATTGCCCATTGGGTACACAGTTTCTTTTGTGGTGATGGAAAAGTTTGAAAATAGGTAGTTGTGTTAGTTGCACAACCTTGCATAAAATTAATGTCAATGAACTGCACACTTAAAAATGACAACTATTATATATTTCACCACAATAAAATGTAAAAAACCTGATTACATGATTATTCTTTTCACATGAAACCAGAGACTCTACACACATTAATTATCTTATTTCTTTTTTTATTTTTATTTATTTTTACCACAATAAAATGTAAAAAACCTGATTACATGATTATTCTTTTCATATGAAACCAGAGACTCTACACACATTAATTATCTTATTTCTTTTTTTATTTTTATTTATTTTTATTGTTTATGAGTATTCACGGGGTACAAAGCTAATTGTCACCACTCGTACCCAAATGTGATGGCCAGATCCATACTGGCAGCATGCCCATTACCACAAATTGTGATTATATCTCCTGTCCCCCACCCAATTATCCCTGACCTCCCTCCCCATCCCCCTTTCCCTCACTCCACTTTGTATCCCTAGGTATGTTCTCTCCCTCTGCAAGTCCAATGCACCACTGTGGTCTTTCTTTCCTTCCTTCTTTCTCTCTTAGCTCCCACTTATGAGTGAGTACATGTGGTATTATCTTATTTCAACTGCACACGGTGTTTTGAGGTAAGGATTATTGTCTCCACTTGATAACTAAGAAAACTAAGGCTTGGAGAGGGATTTGTGGCCATATACCTACTAAGTGACACAGCCAGAATTGCATTTAATCCATCTTTCCTCAGTGCTAAGTGGTCAGTACATGAATTTCTCTGTCCATGATACCTCAAGGTAACTCAAACACATATACACTCATTCCTTCCTTACAGCAGCAGATCCAGGTTAGCAGGGAAGAAAGGCCCTCTGGGCTCTGTAAAGATAATTTCCTGGTTCTAAAGGGAAATGAGTGTTTTCTCAAGAGTTGATTATTTGCAAAGATAAGGCTTGCCCAGAAATTGTTGATATAGTTTATGACCTCAGTTATCTCCAAGACAGTCAAGAATCCAGAAGTGAGCAAAACTCAACTGCTTCACAACACGTAGGAGAGCAGAAAAAAGTAACATTATGTTAAAGTACCAAAGCCCGTTATTCTTGGCCCTGCCGTCTTTTCACATACTTTTGCAAAGCCTTTTCTTACCCCCAGGCTCTGTCTGTAGCTTTAGTACAAGGGGGCGAGTGCAGGGAAGGGAATGAGGAGGTTTTTCAAAAGAGAATTGCAGATGACTATACTGAAAAGACTCTGCCCTACCTGGTGAGGTGGACATCCTCACTGTACCCTTTCATGTCTGTCCCTTCATTTTTGGCACCTCTATCTGCTGGACTCTTAAACGTTGGTGATACCAGCGTTCTGTACTTCCCACTTCTCTTTTCATGTTATACACTCTCCTTCAGCTGACCTGTCTACAAACAAGGCTTAGCTACCCTGTTCCCTGATATCTACATCTCTAGCCCTGATGGCTTTCCTAACCTCAGGACCATTATATCCATTACACATCTCCAAATGTATGTCCCCAACCATATTCATCATCTTCTTCTGATTAGGACATCAATGAACTAGTCACTCACACCAGAAATTAGCAAACTCTCCTGGCCTCCCTCCTTTTCTCCTCTGCTGTATGTCCCCAACCGTATTCATCATCTTCTTCTGATTAGAACATCCATGAACTAGTCACTCACACCAGAAATTAGCAAACTCTCCTGGCCTCCCTCCTTTTCTCCTCTCCTTTTCCGTCACCCTCCTTAGTTTTTCTGTCCAGTCAGTTCTGTCTCCTGTATATTGCTAACCCGGTCCCTCTTTTCCACCCTCACTGTGCTTTGTTTAACTCCTCCTTACACAAACCTATCCAGACCACTGCAGGGACTGTCTCACAGTCTCCAATCTTAGTCCTCTGCAATTTATTCTCCAAGGAGTGATTAAACGAACCAACAAAACCATATTTGGTCATATTTTCTTCTACCTAAAAGCATTCGGTGGCTAACGGTTGCTTACAAGATAAATCTCAAACACCTGGGCTTGATGTGGTTGACAAGTCCATTCATGTTCTTTCCACATGTTCTCAGGCCACTTTTCTGTACACACCCTGAGCTGTAGTTATCCTGGCGTTTTTGTAATTCCAAAAATGCACCACGACCTATCTTGCCTATGTGCTTCAGAGTGTGTTGTTCTCTCCACCTGCGATGTCCATCTACTCACTGTGCTCCAGCTCTCTGCCTAACTGTGACAAGTCCTTAGGGACTTAGCTCAAATATTGTCCTCCCTTAGAAGCATGTCCTGACCTCACTGAGCTGATTTGGAAGCTTATCCTTCATAGTCCTCCCTTATCAGCCTGTGCAGAAATCTACCCCACTCCTTATCTCATTGATTTTCTTGTATAGTATCCTCACTAGGCTACTTACTGAAGGTGAGAACTGGGTCAAGCACATGTTTGATACATAGAAGGGGATGAAAGGCGTGTTAAATGAATGCTCCCTGCCTAGAAAATTATTCCTTCTTATTCTAAATCATGGGGGGTTGATAAACAAACCCCTCCCAGAAATGACAGTAATGCTCTAAGGGCTCCTTGAGATCTGAAAGTCAGAACATGTCAGGTAGACATTAGAGACATAAAAAAGACATGACAATGAACCTTGAGTTGGAGGAAGAGTGTGGCACAGATGGGGAAGGGGGTTTGTGTCTCACTTCCCCATCTGCCTGTGTCACTTTGAGATTATCACTGCTGTCTGCTGACTGACAGTAATAGTCAGCCTCATCCTCAGCCTGAGCCCCAGTGATGGTCAGTGTGACTGTCTTCCCCGAGCTGGACCCAGAGAATCGGTCAGGGATCCCTGAGGGCCGCTCACTGTCTTTGTATATAAGCAGCACAGGGGTCTGGCCTGCCTTCTGCTGGTACCAGTAAGAGTATTTTTTATCCACTGCATCTCCAGAGCAGGTGATCTTGGCCGTCTGTCCAAGGGACACAGACACCGAGGGTGGCTGTGTCAGTTCATAGGCGAACACAGAACCTGAAAGAGAGGAGAGAAGAGGCAGCTTGAAGATTAAGAACCCATCCCAGAGAGTCCCTTCCTGGAGGTTGTGCCAGAGCTGAGCTCAGGGTTCGCAGCAGGCCCAGTTAAGGGTCCTGTGGGGAGCCTGCGGGCAGGGCTTGGGCGGCAGCACCTGTGCAGAGAGTGAGGACGGGGAGCAGGAAAGGGGTCCAGGCCATGGTGGAGTCACCCCAGAGCTCTGCCTCCTGAGACCCCACAGCACACCCGGGCTCCCTCAGGCCTCTCTTATTCCCTCTCAGGTTCTTTGGGGCAGTGAGTGTTTGGTCTTTATGCAAATTTACTCCTCTGGGACTGCTCATTGAGGTGGGGGCCCCTAACAGCAGCTGTATGGGCAGAACCTGGGACTGAGGAGGGAGGGTGGGGCCCCCCCACCCCTCGCATCTGCCAGAGACTTCTCTGGTCAGAAAAACAGCCTCAGCCTCCCAGGTCTGTGATCACAGCCACCTTCCCATGGAGTGACAATGAGACCTCTGTCCCAACCATCCTGGGCCGTGGTCTGGGCTCAGGCTCAGCAGGGCTGCTGACCTTCCAGGAGCCTGGCCTGGGCTGAGCTGGGCCTGTTGAGAGATGGCGGATGAGGCCTGCCTCCGCAGAAGGTGCTCCGTGACCTGTTGTCTTCCTCCTCTCCCCTCTGGGCCCCTCAGATGCACTTTTGCTCTCATCCTTTAAATTTCACAAGAATGGGGCTCTGCATTGTCAGGATTTTAAAAATGACTTCGCATATAGTAGTTCGCTTATTAAACCACCGCCTGCCTTTGCAGACCCACCACGACTTCTAGTGGCATCTCACATGTGGTGTTTGTTCTCGTCTATGACACCCCGCATTTCACATAGACTAGCAATTGGCAGTGTCAACTCTTTGATTGAATTTCATTTTTAAATTCTCCCTTCATATTCCTATTTGTATAGAATAAAGTTTGAGTGAAAAATGACCCAAAACTAATTTTAGCGCACACACACACACACACACACACACACACACACACATGCACACACACAGGTATTGACTCAATTTGATTAGAAAGAACAGGGGTGGGTGTTGACCTCAAGCACTGCTAGATTCAGGGATCCTCACCCCCATCTCCTTCCTGGGTTCTCCTCTGTATGTGTTGGCCTGATGGCTTCCGAGACAGAGTTGACATGGACTTAGTAAACCTCAGGCTTAGATAGTTCCAAATCAGTCTCTCTCAGAATACAGATGTAAAGTGCCAGGGATGAACTCTGATTGGCCCTCCCTGGATCATGTGACTCCCATCTGAACCAGTACTTGCAGCAAGTGGGGAATGGGATGTTCTAATTGGCACATCGGGTCCTGCACTTACTTCTGTGGCTAGTGTGGACAAGGTTTCGTGACCTGCAGTTCCTCCAGAAACACCAGAAACATACAGAATGGGGAGGGGGGTTCCCTAAAGGGAAGGGATGGTTTTTAATAGAAAAAGTGGGAAAGGGTTGTTGGGNTTTTTTGCCACCCAGTAATACTTCCCTTTTCTTTCAATAATAGTAACTTGATATGCCTTCTAGATACTAACCCAATCCCTGTCTTTTAGGTGGGGCTGATCCCAGACTTCCATTTCATTGGCAGGCACATGACCTAGGTCTGTCTAATCAGCACATTCTATTCCCTTTGCCTCAGCAATAGGTTCAGAGATCAGCACATATTTAGAGAAAGATTTTCTTTTTCCACTGGGACTGCTTGTTGGAAATATAAGGGAGATTGATAAGCCTGCAATGACTGGTTGCCACCTTTGTCTTCATATGGGAGAAAACTTAAGAATGAAACCCATGTAAAAGTTGGAAGAGATGACAGGCAGAAAACCAAATTGCTGATGATAATGTTTGGGTACCAAATCCAACTTTGCATGGTACCACATAAAGTTGTTTTGTTTTGATTTTCTAGTTACTTGATAAAATAAATTCCTCTTTTTGAATCAGGAAATTCAGTCTGGGTCTTTGTCACTTGCCATCAAATGAGTCTTTATTATTGCAGAAAGCCAACAAATCTAAAGAGAAGATGTAAATATAGATGTTCTGTGGTCATTGACAAGGATGTGTTTCCTTCCATCCAAATCATTTCACCTAGTGATATTCTGGGCAGGAGAGTTCTTCAGAGGGAGTGGTGGTTGCAAACTGCTTTGACTATGGCCCCCTTAGATGGAGCACACTACTCCCAACTCCATTTGCACTTTCCCAAAAAAATGCATTTTTCAAAATTTATTTTGTTTTACATTTATTAATAATTGCTAAGCAAAACATGAATACATTCTTTTTGTAGGAATTGAAATATTACAGAAAAAGCAGAAAGTCCCCTGACTTTTACTTGATCATTCCCTTTTAGAGATCACCCTGTATTCATTCAACTAGTATCCTTTAAAACTTTATAACTCAGTATAGGCACACATAGGAACTTAGAAGCTTGTTTGACATGGTGGCTTTGTAGGGGATGGTGACTGTGATAATGTAATTTTTCTCATGTTTTCTTTTCACTCATTTTTTATTTTATTTTTATTTTTGTCCTTTTTGAGACCGGCCGCACCGCGCTCAGCCAGTGAGCGCACCGGTCATCCCTATATAGGATCCGAACCCATGGCGGAAGCGCTACTGCGCTCCCAGCGCCACACTCTCCCAAGTGCGCCACGGGCTCGGCCTTTTCACTCATTTTTAAAAGTTACATAAGTAATATACGAACATGTCCTATTATAAAAGACTCAAAAAAAAAAAAATACAGAAATACATGGAACAAAAAGTCAAAATCTACCCTCATTTCACAATCTC